ATGTACTTCAGCTTCAGGGTCAATGATCCCCATCTCGATCAGGTTTTTGACCAGTTTCCCACATCTCTTGAGCAAATGCTGAGATGACCCCTTGTTTTGCTTCTGGACATAAATGTAGCTTTACGATGCTCAGGTTTTGGTGAAGTCTCCCTTTGCTTTTTGCTAATTTTTGGTAATTTTTTTCATCTTTCAACTATTTATAAAATGTTGGGAAGGGGTTCTGGAATTGAAGAAAACGTGCGTAGTTATTTATTCCTCAATCGTACACGTACAGTTTCTACTGTTTCAGACTAAATAAATCAAATCAAAGCTCTCTTTTTTGCACGCATGGCCAATTTTCCCTTTTATTTACTAATTTAGATTTTAAAAAATTTAATACAAGTCTTGAGTTTCCTACAATGGTGAATAAAAAATGTTCCCCTGGTTTTCCCTTTCGTACAGCCTCCGCATTCTTGAACTTTGTTCTGTCTCCATTTCAGTTTGTTTCGTTTAATTTGGTCCACTCCAATAGTATTCACGTCCACACACGCAATTATCTTCCCTGTCTAATTATATATTTTCCTACTCATTACGCATTAGAAAAAAATATTACTAACAGGTACAATTTCGTCTTTTTCTGACTCCTACCGCATCAAAATAGCCTATCTCCTCCGAACACTTACACGCCCAAGCATCATCTGCCCATCTGTGTTGCGCGCTCTTCAGCTGTCTCCTGCCATGCGCGAAATTGTTCTCAAATGCGTTTCTTCTTCGTTCTAGTGCGTCGACCATTCCATATCTCGAACACGATCTAATTTCTGATTGGTCACTTGCACTCTTGCACCATGTGTGTTTATTCTATGGTTTTTGTTCGCTTTCCTCACCCACGGAATTTACTCACATGTCCTTTTAACTGTTTCATTTACAACATATACTTTATGTTTTCACCACTATTAATTCTGTTGACCTTCTCTTGTATTATATCTAATTAAAATCCACTTCTTTGTTTCTCTTCCCTCCCCCATTGTTTCTATTGTTTGTATTTATATTTATATGAGTTTATTGATACTTATGATAACCTTTCACAAAAATGAGGAAAAATGGTCACAAATATATATGTTCTGCCAAACATTACCCTTCTTGGAATTGCCTATATTTCATTTTTATATCAGTTTCGATGTGAAAGACTGATCTCTATTTCCTCCGTTTTGCTATCATTTGGCGATTTTGTTATACTTGGCGAAAAATCAATTATTAAATTTTAAAGTTTTGTTAGTTAAAATTACAAAATACATACAACATACAAAAGAGGTCACTGGTTTAAAATATTGTTTATGAAATAGGAGTATAAAGTTAAAAAAATAAATTAGGAGTCCATACATAGTGGTGCACGCAAGAACATAAACAGTGAAATATGGCCCTTGTTGAGAGAAATGCGGTAGATTGCCCATTTAAATAAGTAACCAAATCATTTCCTAGCATCGATCATTGCTTTAGACTGTTAGGCATTCGATCTACGCACCGCGTCGACCCCATTCACGTTTCTCTCCTCCCCCCTCCAAAGCTGCCTATACCCCTCTACTTTGGCAACTACTACTACTACTCTGGCAGCTCTCGTGGGAAGACGGATGTCTCGTAAGTGGGTAATGCCAGAAGGAGCAAGCGTTGTACAGGCCTGGGTTAGACAAAAGAAAAAAGTGCGTAGAAGTTAGTACAAAGTACAATGAGAAACGATTTGGAGCTGAAACTGCGCCGAAAAGACGAATATTAAAGTATCGGACGGATAGCATTATTGCAAATGGGCAATGGGAAGACGCCATATAACGGGCGTGATGAGCTCGCGATACGAAGTTAAATTTTAGAAGTTTTATTTCATAAGTGAAGTAAATGTCATAATGACAGAGACTAGTTATTGTGTTTTAAATATTTTAAGTTAGAAATTAGATTGAACATAATTAGAAACTCAAAGACTTTCGAGTGGAGTAATGGGTAGAGCTTCCCTTATACCGTATCCGAGGAGGACAGGGAAAATGCGTCGTCTAAGAGGTCTCTGCATTCCTCGAAATGAAAATGGAAAACTTGCAAATAACAGATAGTATAACTTTGTACATGACCAAACATTGGTTTAAAAATTAAAATTAAAATGGAATCGCTTTTAATAAAATAGGCATTTAGTAATTTTAAATTATATAAATATTGCACAGATCTACATGTTTTCCTATGTAATTAGTGAAAATGTGATTCTTTTGTGTAGTAATAATTGGTAATTACGGGGCCGATTACATATAATGTTGAAATGCAAGTCGAATTTGGCGCGGTTTTGAAGAAGAGATCTTTAAAAAAATAAGTCGGGTGACACAGTGTTGCGCTGCAGAAATTATTATGGTTGCTGGTTGGTACTATTTTTAGTAATATTTTAGAGTAACTATTTTTCTTCGAGATTCCCCAATGATGAGTTTTCTATCAGCCGAGACGTCGCAATGAGTGGTGGCTTTTCAGGCTCACTTTTTTTTACGGTATTAAAAATAATGCCCCGAGATATTTATGATTATCTGCTTATTTGTTTATTATTATGTTTTTATTAGATTGAAAATAAAATATATGCGCTAGCCGTAATATTGACAGAGATAGAGAGAAAGGTAGAAAAAGGAAAGGTTTCAATATACTATAATTGCATAACTTGAACTATGGGGCTAGGCTGAAGTCCTTTAAGCCATTACAGAAAGAAAAGCCTAACTCGTTCTGACCTTTTGAATTCTGGTATTCACTCCAAATGGTGATCCATCGCATCGAAGTTGCAGAAAAGAGAATATAAGGTACGGGTAAGGGAAAATAGGGAAACCTGCTTTTAGAAGACGAGAATATTCTAATCTACCAGTTAAGTAGTAATCTACTAGTTAAGTAGTAATTTACAAGTTTTAAAATATTTAGAGTACGCACATACTAACTGGACCAAAATATAAGTGTCTTTCAACTACACAATTTCATGTCTGAGTAAGAAAGATGAACCCTTGTTTGATATGACGTGCTTACAAAATAACTTTTATGTAATATGGTAAAGGAAATAATCGTCTATAAAAGTTGTAATAATTTTTATTATTGCCCTGAGTTAACTTTCGGGAAACATTTTTCCTATCGTCAGTGGGTCTCTAGCAAGGACGAGAAAATTGAAACCTTAACAAAATTTCTATGCAGCTATACTTGAACTTAGCCTTTTCAACTGTAAAACCTTTGGTCTATTCTCGGGTACAATCATCTGCTTTGAAATTCACAAATTCTACACAAAATGTTCAGGTACAAAATATAAAGGAACCACTTGAGCAGTTACGTTTATTTAGTTTTCTTTGCTGCATAGTAATTATAGTTTGTACATATTGTGTGGGTCAAAAAATTACTTTTTTCATCAACAAACCTTTAAAATAAGTTGCATAGATACAGCAGAAGCTGCATTGCAGATTAAGAAGTAACTAAAAAACAATTTTATATAATATATGAAATATAATACAAATGGAAAAAAATATAAGTTTTCACAGAATGCTTAGCGCTGAATACAAAGTAATACTCCACTAATACTGAATAAAATAAATTGTAACACATTCATATAAATCTGAGCTGTAGAGACTACTTTCTTGAGGGATTTTTCAAAAGAAATAAATCAGGAATGGTCGTATCAATATTGAAAATACTGTCCATGAACATGACTTTTCTCACAAAGTAAGGCTATTCAATTCTATCATCCCGACCCCTGCGTTTCAGATGTAGTGTCTATACGCCCCTGACTTCAACAGCAAAGACCTGTCCCACACAGTGAAACAGTCTGATATAAGGTCTGCTTTGATCCCTCTTTTAAAAATAAACTAGCCATATTTGACCAATGACACTAAGCCATCTCTGCACGTTACGTCGATAGAGTACAGGTTGACCTGTATATTAAGAGTTGACATTAGTTGTTCTCAGACTTAGCAGCAAACTTTAAGCTACACTTCTCTGGTACTCTCGTGTGGTTCTAAGGGTCTCGTGGTGTCAGCCCACACCAGAATCCCCCTTTTGCCATCAAGTTGAAGGAAGCAGTGAACTCCAGAGGATGCTTCGTCTTGGGACACGGAGTCAGCTCGAAGTTCGACACGAGCATGCACACAGAGGCCGCTTAACTTCCATCAGAGCAAACGTTGCTGGAACGAAATAGGGATCGTTTTAACTTTTAACTTTTATAATACTAAAAACTGTTAGCGATCTCACATAAGAAAGAAAGAGACAGAGAAAAGAGAGAGAGAGAGAGAAAGAAAGGGAAGAGAGATAGAAAGAGAAAAGAGAGATAAAGAGAACGATATAGAGAGAGAGAGAGAAAGAGAGAGAGAAGGAAGAGAGAGAGAAGTAAGAGAACAACATTGATTCTTAGATATAATATTTTCAAAAAAACTTCCATAATGGTCATGGAATCTTTCGGCGATAGTTTTTATCGTCCAGTCAGTGATATGACATGAAAAACGCGACATATTGGGTGACGCAAGGGGGAAATTATGAGAGACTAAAGAACTCACACAAGCAAGATCTATTAGTACTCGATGCGCGATAATGCATTATTAATTGAAATCAAACGTTTTTCATTAAATGTCATTTTAGTACTAACATTTGTTAAATTTCTGCAAATACTTAATAATTATTTTAGATTATAATTTTGAAAATAACACACTAATTGTACAGTCTAATTTGTATACATTGATAGAATTGCTGTTCTTTCATATTTTTGGCAGCAAGGAAAGGAAGTTTTCAGGCAATTATTTGGTGACAAAGAGATTCTGTAAACTTTTCAACCACTTTCTAAGCGTTTAAGCCAGGTCAGAGAAGTGTGAAGAGTTGTTAGTTCATAATCTTTCGCTTGATAAACATATTTAACTACAGAGTTGTTGTAATTTAATCGTCTTAATTTGCGCATTGAAAATGGTACAGAGCAGCTAATTGGGACTTGAATTCCTTTCCACTAGTTGACATCACCTTTCCACAGTTTCTTCACCTACCGATCAAAGCGGAGGCCCACGCCGAACGGCATGTAGGTGAAGGGCTGATGTTGTGCTTGTTCTCGTCGCTGAAGCGCTCGGGTCGAACTTCTCAGGATCGGCCAGTATTCTGCATCGATGGTGCGAGAACCACATGATGGAGGATTAGACCAGGCCTGGCCCATATCCCTCACCGCAACTGAGTGCGAGCTTCGCCCCGGCGGGCAACTGCGTGTCTCTCTGGCACACGCGCTCGGTCGCCACTGCAGGCGGGTACAAGCGCAGACACTCTGAAGCAGACGTGGCCGATCACCCGCAATGAAGCGCATTTATGAAAGCTATTTCAATAAAATACATATTATAATAGTATGATGGTGGTGGTAGTGAAGGTATGGGTGATAGTGGTGGCGGAAATGGAGGTGATGATATTTGAAGTGGATGTGGTGGTATAAAGTTTAGTGTAGGTGGTTGTGATAGTGCTGATGGTTCTGACGGACTCACAAAACTGCTTCATACACTCGGTGACAATTTGGTGTCAGTCATTTTCATATACAAATGTAATAGTTTCTATTAGTTCGTTAATATCATATATCGTAATTAATAGTTTGAAGTTTAGCTATTATGATTTATTTTGAAAAGAATGAGAACAAAAGAATATCATTCTCTCGACAACACGATTCTCATGTCATGCAAGGTATGCAAAGCGTGTAATTTTCGAAACCTTTCAACACGCAAGGAATTGGTCTGGTCAAAGGAAATCATGCCTTTGAACAATCAATGGTTACGATAGGGACTGACGCGGTCACTCTTTGGACGAAGAAATTGTTGCTTAGAGATCATATTCTCCTCTATCTCCACAACTCCAAGTTGAGGAAGGTCATTAGACGGTATCATTGCAAGAATAACATACTATAATAACGAAACTGAAGAAAATTAAAAATGCGATAAAAGAATACTAAAGTAAATCAGGATCCTCTGTATTTTCTATAGTCGGCTGAAGTATAAACTAAACCATTAATAAGCTATGCAATTTATGCAATTATGTACTGCTTATAGCGAAAATATTTTCAACAGAAACGCTAGGGTTCTCACCATAGATAACTGCGTCGAGGTACTTCATTCCCTGGACAAACTCATAGCTAGCGTTCCCTTCAACTTCTTCCATCACTTGCGAAATTTCTGCGTACAAGCGTTGCTGCACGTCGTCATGATGAGCGAGCAGATGCGCGGTCAAACAAAGCGCTGTGGAAACAGTCTCGAATCCAGCGAGGAAGAAAATTCCAGCTTGGGCACATATGTCGTCGTCTGTCATATCTGTAACCAAAAAATGTGCAAATTTCTTAAGATCATATTGTGGCAGCACCAAATTTTAATATATTAATTCAATATTAAGATAGTTTTCTCCATGGAAAGAAAGTTGGTCGCAAGACTGGGCTCTTGTCACAAAAGATCCTCTTCAACGCACCGCTCACCCATCGCCAGCTGCCCCGACCGGCTGCCAAATAGAATGCCTTTCGCAGCAGACGTATTTACGACAAGCCACCCGCTCGGAGCTCGCCCGTCGCACGCCCCGCGTCGGCTGCCGATCCGCCGGGAAGACCTTTCCCCCACCCCCCTTCGGGAAGCCCCCGCGCACTTAGCAAAACAATGACCACCAGCGTCTCGGCCCGAAGACAGACCTTGCTCGCCGGCCATTCGTCACGCGCCCGCGCGAGGAATCTCCCTACAGCACTTCCGGAAATCCCAGAGGTATTGTTTATAGCTTGCCCGTCGCCAGCTGCCGATCAGCGCGCCGAAGAATTATGTTTCCGGAACAAAGCCTCCTGAACACGTGTTCGGGCAGCTGCAAGAGATGCTTCCACAATTAGAGAGAGAGAGAGAGAGAGAGAGAGAGAGAGAGAGAGAGAGAGAGAGAGATCGCTCTGTTCCAGGAACAGTGCGTCCCGATTGGGTGACAAAATTGTGACGCATATAGTTTCGGCCTATGAGACATCTCCCCGGGAGGAAAGGGGCTAAGCTACGGGTCCCGAGACCTTTCCTCGAGAGGAAAACGGAGTTGAGCTCGGCCGGGAGCTGAGTAGAGAGAAACATTCCCCGACAGATTGCCCGACAGATTACGCGAAAGATTACACTAGACATTGATTTACAGAACTTTGCCATCGATTGCGACTTAGCATTACATTACAGAACTTTGCTACTGATCGCGACTAAGAGAAACATGACATGATTCTGATCGGGACTAGTAGGAAAAAAGACGTGGTTCTGAGCTAAGACTCGGTGGAGTGAGGAACATTATTAATTTCGGCTCGTAGGGCTGAACACTTGCCACCGGGCGCGATTTTTCACCGAACCTAAGACCCGCGCAGACTACACGTCAATCTGCGTTCGCCGCATAGTGCCGTCTCGGGCCCATTCAAGCCCGCATTACGCCCACCCGGCGCCCGTGTGTTCTCTAGCTGACTCTGAGCCCGCCCCCCTTTGACGACTCCGAGCCGCACCATGCCACCAGCTGAGGACAAGATCTGAATGGGGAGTCGGCGACCTGACCACTTCCCCGCCGTCGCCGCACCACGCCGCCAGCTCTCGCCAGAGCGAGGGTGAATTACCAAACGAGGACAGCCATCCAGCCGGTATGCGGAGGCACCGACAACCAGCGGTGATAATCCGGTATTTAACCGGAGATGAACTCTCTTCCCTGATTACGTCACGGGGTTCCTTCCCTGGGTTCCTTCCGGCGAAAGTTTCAGCGTTGCCGCACCAGGCAGTTTTTTATTACTCAATAATGCATGAATTATTGTAGACAAAATCCCAATGTTAGTGTTAAGATTTTCTTCCTAGCTATTAGAACCATGAGCACATTGCGTAAAGTTGGTAGGCTGTCATTGCCAGTCTCTTGCGACGTGTAACTTCCCTGTCAGTTAATGTTGTGAAGAATAAATTAATTTTTGCCCTATTCATGAAATGTTATTCAATAGATATTTTCATAAACTCCCTTCTCTTCCATCCATTCATTATAGGAATGAACCTGCGACACGGCTGAGCGAAACGTTACAATATATGTGGTATATTTTATGAACTTTTTCAATTAGATAATTTGAAAATAATTAACAAATGTATCTTGAATTTCAAATATTTTTTCATTTTTAAAAGGTCTGTATTAAAAGATGACTAACGGAAATTTATCTCAACACGTTCTCACAGCTGTTTTAAATATTCTGATTTGTTTAATTTAAATTGTAATATATCAACTGCTAGTAAAGTCAGGCTATATTGAATAAACGAAATAGCTTGACCAACACTTAAATTTGGTTATAAAACTTTATCAAAGTACTGTTTGTATTATCGTGAGATGAATAAATAATTCCCGAATATGTAGGTTTTCTTAAAACCAATTCATTTTTAACTATAAACAAGCTAAGGAATTCCATGATTTCGCTTCAATCAAATATAATACACATTTCGTGTCATATAATGAAAGTGGTCCCACGGCTTCCACGCCACCCTCCTTCACAGCCTTCACCGCGCATATTCATAGAGTTTGGAATGAAGACCATGTAAGGGTGCGAGTGAATTCTCTGGTATTTTGTCAACCACTCACTCGGCCTTCGCTACGTCAATGTTCTTCGCTTGGGGTGTCCAACATTAATAAGCAAAGGTGTGAAAAGCCTGTGAAGATGCGATTGAACTTACTCTTGTTCCTGGCGCCAACATCCTCGGCCTCCGCCGCGTCCTCCTTCTCCGCCTTGAGCTGCCCTTCGCGCGCCTGCATGAGCAGCTGCAGCATGTCGGGTCGGAAGATGCCCTTCTGCCTGCGTTCCTTCAGTGTTCCATTCACCAACGAGAAAAAGAAGTCGGTTGCTTCGCCGTCCAGCACTCGCAACCGAAGGGCCTAAGCACCACGATTTTGCTATCAGACCATTTACCTCCTATTTGTTGATAAATTGTACTAGAGGAGTGTGTCAAGCATCCATATTTTAACAGTAAATTTCTTCTGAGTACCCGTCTGTTATGTATTTGGCGTATATTCGTGGTCAGCAGAATGCCGTTGAGGCGTGGTACGACGCAATAGGAAAGGGCGGATAGCGGTCACTCATTCCAGAGCGAACGGGGTCAGCGCCAGGTACTTCAGTGTACGAGGAACCCCCAGGGAACGAAGGATTTACGACCCATCACTCACCAGCACTGTCTCTGCGTATACTAAAGAAAAAACGAGGTCGTCAAAATAGACGACGGGGCTATGCGTCTCCATGACTAGCGGTAGCAAACTGAGAAATACGATTGCTACGAGGAACAACCCTTCCGCGACTGACGTGGCAAATCAATTATGAATCTGATGTTACCTCAGAGTAGAGACTGGGTGCAAACATGCTGTGATATACTTTATGAAATGGAACAAGAAACCGACTCGGACATAACCAGGCCTCACCGGAACGAACATTGATACTGTCTTCGGAATGTTTACTCTTGTTTCAATCGATACTGAAGTTCGTAGTCGCGATGAGGCTTCCTTAACTCTATCGACACATGACTATATCATGAAAGAAGATTTCTATCTCACTCACGGACATTCGGGATCGATACTCCGTTAATAGGACGAATTTACTTGAAAGCTCGAGCCGCGGACGAGTATTCAGATTGGGATGGAAGCAATTCATATCAATACAATACATATTACTACAACAAGAGCTAAGTTTCTCTCTTCTTTGTTGCTAAAATTTGTTTCTATAATTATAAACGAGTAAAAATGGAATTTCTTTATAGTACAGATTGAACATTATTTTAGACATAACATCCTTCTGGAAAATTACGTCTAACGGAGATTGTCATGGCTAGAACGATGTTAATCACTTACTTTATTTTACCAAAAAACTATATGAAATGCTCGTAGGGAAGTGTGTTATGAAATAGGAACATTTGTACGGGACTTGTGAAAAATGTTAATTGAAGTTATAATTAATATTCAAATTAGTCTCATTTTGCACCCACCTGCATTAGTTTGGGAATGAGTATGTATCCTAAGAACACGAATTTTCGCCACTGTGAGAAGGTGGTCATGACTTTCCCCCAACGGTAGAAATCATTATCAGGATCCTTCATGGAGTCACAGCTGACCCCAAACGCTGCAGTGGCGATGACATCATTAGCCAAACGGGTGAACAGGTCTTTCATGTCAGTCGCGAGAGGTTCCTTGAGAGCTCCTAAAACAGGGCATTGATCGGGAAAAGTGAGAAGCAGATATTTGTATTCCTCTCAATGTACTGAAAACAAACCTTTTATCTTTCAAGACAAGAATTTGTCCTTCGTTTTCCACAACAACATTCGAACATCATACCTATTATACTAATATATATATATATATATATATATATATATATATATATATAATATATATAATATATATTATATATATATATATATATATATTAGTATAATAGCCTTGGCTCCGACGAAGATTATCTTAACGTCGACATGTCAGATCCAACGTTGATGGAGCTTCTTCCCAAAATTTGCCTGGGGACGTGACGTGTCCCCTGGAAAATTTTGCATTGTTAAACGAATTCATATACACGGTGAAATTGTAAATTTAATTTAATATATATATATATATATATATTATATCTATATAAAAAAAATATTATATATATGATATATTATATTGGGAAGAATTTTGGGAAGAAGCTCCATCAACGGTTGGATCCATGTCTGACGTTAGATATATCTTCGTCGGAGCCAAGGCTACACTCGCGGATGCATTACAAAAGTCCGCGAAGGAACGAGCATTATGACACCGTAAAAAATCGCCTATTTAATCAATTATTATAAAGCACGCGAGCAGCGCGAAAGACCAAGTCAACTAATGTACTATTTTCACTTACCCTCTTCGCTGTTCGCGTATTTCTGTCGTAGGTGGTGAACCATCTGCTCTCCGCACTTTGAAATGAGCGGGAACATTCCCTTGATCTTGCTGGTGGTGAAGGCGGGACTCAGCGTAGCTCGCATGTCTCTCCAGGCCTGGTCTGAAAGGTGAGTTGGCAGATTACTTTATTACTCCTTTCACATGACTTAAGATAAATACATGAAATCTTCTTTTCAGTAACTGTAGAATTTGTGTAAAGTTAATAGAAATTTCATTCAGTGATGTTATAATAGATTGAAATTTGCTCCGAAATTATTATAACCCTGAAAATTAGCAATTTAAAATGAACTACCTTTCAGGTTGAAAAGATTCTTGCTAAAAACTGGATCGCTTTTTTCGGTCTGTACAGTCTGATGATTCATGAAGTTGTCGAATTCCTTCACCGTTACCAATTTTATAAGTTCTGGGTCAACTACAGTAAACACAGGATAAATAAATTGAAACGACCCATACACTCCGTGATCTTGAGCTCTTTTGTACTGCTGTTTTACAATCTCTGGGAACGACTTGTTCATGAACATTCCCATCATATCACCTATAAAGGGAAGTTTAGGGCTTGTGGAGGGGATGCCCTGCTTGCGGAAGTAGTCGTAGTTCCAAGTGCCGACGATGTAGAGAAGCAGCAGGATACCCGCGAAGACGAGAGCCCAGTCACCTACCGAGGTTTGCGACCAAATCCCCGTCGTATAGTGCCACATCCTGGAATGAGAACGCTTTAGTGAAGGATTCTTTCAGTGATTCACCATTTAACGGAGTATAATATGTTTTCAATGTATGC